GAATTCAGAATTTTTGCATAAGGTTTATATTTGGACTGCGCAAATATGACCATGTATCTCTTTTTCGTACTAAGCTCAAGTGGTTGCCAATACGACTTCATCGGAATGCTCACACACTTCATCTTCTCTATAGTGTTCTCTTTAATCCTTCTTACCCTTCTTACCTCAAAAATCGTTTTGAATTTCTTCATGATTCCCTTTCGCGTAACTTGAGATCAGCAGAGAGTTTGAAGTTGAATTTGCCACTATACACTAGAAAATTTATGAACAAGTCTTTTACTGTACAGGCCGTTCATTTATGGAATGAACTCCCATTGTCAGTAAAACGCGCACCATCCCTACCGGTATTTAAAAAACTAATTAAGAATCACTACCTCGCACTTTAAATTATAACTTCACTTCCACACTAGCCATTAAATAATATATTATATGTATCATATCAATTTCATTTAATTAATTTAATAATTCAATATATATATATATATATATTGAATTATTAAATTAATACATATATATATATATATATATATATATATTAATACATATATATATATATATATATATATATATGTTTTGTATGTATATATGTTTATAGTATGTGTATGTATAGTATGTATATGTGTTTATTCTTTTCTATCTCTTTTCTTTTTTCTCTAACACACCAATTTGCCCTGCCCTTGTCATATTCGTGCAATCCTGTCCATTCATTGGTTGTCTGGAAGAAATTGCTATCAGCAATAAGACCGCCCATTGCATACTTCTTTTATATATAGAATTTCTGTAATTTATGTATGGTGTGCAATAAAGAATATTAAATAAAATAAATAAATAAAGACATTGCATTTTATTAAGACATGAATAACCAATTAAAAAAAATTTGTCTGTCTAATTTGTTGAAGAATAGTTGAGAAATGGTTTTGTAGATTTAAAAACAAACTTTCAAACAAGCTTATTACGTAAAATAATAGATCTTAAATTGTTATTTTAAATACTTTCTCATATTATCGCATAGTTTTTTAGATAATGACAAAAAAACTGAGTTTAAAGTAGTTTTTCGATAATTGAATGACTTGCTTAAAGACCACTATTAAAGATCTGCAGGTGTTTTTTTTTTAAGTTCCACGCGGATGAAATCGCGTAGAACAAAATTAACTAAATAATAACACGATGAATATTAGTTAATTTATTATTCTAATCTTTATGTATAAAAATTACGTGTCACATTGTTTGTCGGCGATGAACTCTTAAACTACTGAACTGATTACTATGAACTTTTGCACACTGTGTGCAGTTTGGTCCAACTTGAGAGATAGCATAGTTCTTATCCCGTTAAGTGACCCTCAATATTTTATGGTAATTAAAGGCTTTTTAAAGGACAAAGTCGGAGAGGGCAGTACGACGTCTAATAATTCTTCTGTCTTCTTTTTTTTTGTTTAAAAAAACGTTACCTCCACACTAGGATTTTGCTCCTGTATCGTGGAGACAGGTTACAAACATAAATTGCACGAGGACAAACATCCAGACCCGGAACAATTATTTGTAGGCCATACAAATACTTGTTCCGTGTGGGATTCGAACCCGCGGCCCCCAGCGCAACAACTAATTGCTAAGCCACTGTCAGCTTCTTTATGTATATAACTGATCTCCCCTTAAACGTCTGGACCGATTTTGATGAAGTTTTGTGTGGGTGATTAAGTTGATTCCAGAATGGTTTGGACTCGCAATTGGAGGCGGCAGGTAGCGCTGTTGTCGATATCCATAAAACACCCGTGCAAAGCCGGGGCAAATCACTAGTATAATAATAATTAATCTGAAATGATCGCTGAGATCGAAATTCAGGGGACATAATAAACTGTTAAAACTTTAAAATTTAATAATACGTCAGGTTATTAAAGTATTTTAAGGTTATACATAATACATATTATATACATAAAGATCTTCAAGATACAATTCAACTTAAACATTATTATTGGAAGATATCACAGTTGACCGGATTGATTTTATTAAAAACAGTTAAGAAAACTGGTCCCTAATTCCAAAAGGTAATTAACATAATTAATAACATAACATAATTAATTATACGCAAACAAAACAATTTAAGATAGAAAAATTACAAAATTAATCTTTGACTCATTTCTGAGAGGGTTTTGTGGAATGAAAGAATCCACCGCCTATGCAATACGGGAATCAGTAGCTTCAACAATTAAAATTGCAATTGATAATTTCTTTGATACCAGTGGAAACTGAATTCGTTTTGCTCACGAACTAGGAAATTTTTAAAATAAACGTTTATTCTCCTTACTACTACATCGCACATTTTTTTAATACCGTTACCCTCACACGTTTTCTCTTGATCGTGGAGGCAGTTTGCAAACATTTACAAACAACAATTTTACAAGGACATATAACCAGACCCGAAACAATTATTTGTCAATCATATAAAATACTTGTTCCGTGGATTGAGACCCGTGACACTCAGCATCGCAACTCATTTCTAAGTTAAGAGTGTGAAATTTCGCAGTCAATTTTTATAATATGGAGAAGGAGTGCATACAGCTAAAATTTACATAACCAGCAGTACCAGGCGTATTGCAGCAGCTGGAGTTATAAATGTAGAAATATCACTTTAAATTTGGAAGAGTTATAATATTGTTTAGTTAGGAGTTCATAATTCAAAGAAGTTGAATGATATACGACTTTAAAATAAATTGGTCGGTACGATACGCGCGCCACCTACTGTAAATTAACTATACTATACCTGCAATAAGTTGACAAAGTTTTACCGCAATCTGATGAACGGTATGGCAGCGCAAAAACATGAACAAACAAACATTATTTTTTTATATTACATATGTGTTACAAATACATTAAATAAAATTAAACATATATTTTTTATATGTTCATACTATCAATGTCAAACGAATAATTGTCGCATACAAATGTTACTCTAAGATTTATCGCTTCGGCAAGTTATGTCGTTTGTGCATACTGCCAATGTATCAGAGTAAATAAGCATATGTATATTTATTAATGTCAAACACTGGCGCCAAAGAATTTTAAAATGTTGCCAACAAAGAGCTGTGAATTTTGTGTGATTTCAAATGTTCCTTTTTCAATTATATATCAAGGCGAAAGGTGTTTATTTGATATTTTCTATAGAACAGTTACAGCCTAAATGGGTCCCACTGCTGAGCACAGGCAATACTCATTTCTGAGAGGGTAAGGAAATATAATACGGAAAAAAAGAAATATAAAAAATGCGTGTTGGCGAGTGACTTTCAGTCTATAGTCTAAAACTCTGATTCAAAAGGATACATTTCGAAAGATGTGGCCATGTATGACTTAACTGCTCCGTATCTGTTTTATCATCGAACTACCAGACGCTCTGTTGGTCTCCGCACCTTTGTTGTCGATATTTCTCGCATTCGAACCAAACGGCTTGCTATATCGTCCGTAATGCGCACAGCAAAGGAGTGGAGTCATTTCGCAGCATTTTCCTTCTATTTGATTCTATCTTTCTATTCAAGACCATAGGCTTTTGTTACGCTTGTTGCCACTTACCATCAGGTGGGATATTAGTCAAGCACTGGCTTATAGTCGTTCATTTTTTTAATGCCAGCCACCATTAGAAATTTCTCTTGTATCGTGGAGGCAACTTTATGTCTAAGAAATTAAAATAAATTTTGAGAATATATTATGACATCTGCCAATGGCAGCAGGGTAATACAGAATATCCTTTCTTGCACAAAACCCGCTTAGAAGCAGGAGGAGGATAAGCTATTCATTTAAAAAGTAAAATGTCAGTGGCCTAATACAGTAATTGTGACGTGTATAAATAAATCTTCTTGTTATTTTATTATTTTATGTAAGAAAAGTTCTTATGTCAAAAATGCTTCTTACTTTATGTAAGAAGTGTAAGTTATGTAAGAAGTATATCTATTTTTCTGTTGCAACTGCATTTGTCAGGCTATGTAATAATTTAGTAGTACAAGAACATTTACAAAAACAAGCTTTTTTAGAAGAAAATAAACTTTAAATTAATTCAAACCCATTTATTTATTACATTACACAATTTACATAAAATAGGTATTTATATTTTTCGTAGATTTACATACATACATATATGTCGAGTTACATATTGTATTCTTATTTATGTACACGAGTAAATCTCGCGACATGCTTATATATCATATAAATTGTGAGATGTAATAAATTAATGGGTTTGATTTAATTTAAAGTTTATTTTATTCTTTTTAGAGCAATTCAATAAATACTTATTATTAAAAAGGTTAATTTACTATTAATTTATTTTTTAGTTATCGCTGGACATGTTTCTAAGTCTGTTTATGTCATTTAATGCGACATTGTTAATATTGGTCGCTATCTCAGATCCGCCATCTTGATTTTTTATCGCCAGCAGTTGATCTTTGTCGGTCCCTACAACATTTGTTCGAGTACCATCAAACTATCCTAAGCTTTGCCGAGCTATGACTCTTTAAAATTAGGCAAATCGCCAGAATTTGCCCAAGGTATAAGTCGATATTAGTGAAGACACGACCACGGTAAGTCTTACCGTTTAGCCGGGCAGTAGTACACCATCTCCTCGAAGAGCTGAACGCGGACATCATTCTATTCGTATTCTTCTCAGCAAACTCTTTAATTTAATATCCATATCATGAGGGTGCATAAAATAAACATAGTCCGTCATCTTTGGGAGTCCACCATATTGGATTTAGAATGACGTCGATTAGCTAACCATGTATTATACGCAAAATATTTATGCAAAATTTCAGCTCAATCGGTTGCGTATAACTGCTTTAAAACACATTACAAGTAAAATAAAAGCTTTTAAAAAGAACAATTTTGTTTATTACTAAATTAGTATTAGGACAAAAATACTAACTAGAACTTTATTGATTTATATCAGTTATTATATCTCTGTCGCTTTGTATTGGTTAGGATTTTTCAGCAGTAGGAAAAAAAATAAAAAGATTTTTAATGAATTCGAAGGAACTTTAATTGATAAATAACAGACAAATATTAATAAAATCCAGCAACATGCAATCGTCTGATATTGTAGCACAGCCAAATAGCTTCCATTAATAGTAAAAGTGGTGCAAATACGTAATAAGATGTAGCTTGTGACTTTATTTTGGACATGAATATAATTTAAATATAAGTTTTAAATGTGTATTTGAATAAATTTTTGAGGAATTTTCGTTCGATAAAATGTATATAATATTATTATTAAAATTACAAGAGATGATTATTGATTACAAAATTTATTTATAGTAACACAGAAACATTTGTTAGTAGGGTTGTTGTATTAATTTTTAAATATCGATAATAGAAAATATGAATACATTTCTTACGACTAGCTAAGTTCACACAGATCACAAAGTTGACATTCACGTAAAATTGCAGCATTTGGAGATATTTTCCCAATCTCTACAGTAAAAGAATTAGTGTTTTCAATTATTTCATGTAATAAAAGTAACCATTATATAGTTTTGTTATTTTAATAGACTTTAAACTTAGAGCGCAAAATGCAGTGCACATGTATTTTATGATCTAATAAGGAGTTGATTTAGTTAATGACGTATGTACGTGCATGTAATTATAATTTAAATCCTCGAAAATAGAAGATGCAAGCATAAAATATGTACAAGTTTTACTAAAATTAAAGAACATGACGTGTTCTGTCTAACATTATGTTATTTTTTTAAAACAATATAATGTAGTTGTTTAAGCAATAGACTAATAACCGAAAAACATTGGTATCAATATATCATGAAAAGTTTATCCTACCTATATCATAATATAGCAAGAAAATTTTCTTTTATAATTTTCAAGCTAATGAACATGAAATTATGAAATAAAATTACTTTCTTGTCTTTTGTTGTTCATTCTTATCTTTTTGCATTAAGACAAACGAAACACAAAATTTAAAAGCACGCTATAATAAATGCTTGTGCGTATAATGATTGTGAATCCCTGCATAATATACTTATTTGAATAATTAAATAGATTAATTAAAGTATTTTCTTAAATGTACTTAACAATTTAATGTTAATTTTATTATTTCTGTTTAATGAATCATATCGAAAATAATACTCATAAATATGCACAACCTCCTTAGAAAATAGTTCAAAATAATATACTTATACAAACAAAACAATAGATTTTAAAATAAATATATTTTATTTCTTCCGTAAATAAAGTTAATAATTTTGTGTCAATAAATATTATTTCCGGAATTAATACTACAATTCCCTAAAAAATTCAAGATTTTGAAATAGATAATAGAAATATTTATTAGATTTCGATTATTGACGTACGTTACGTAACGTATCATTAAATTTAATTAATTCAATATATTTAAAGGGTAGTAAGCGACATCAATTTATGCGGAGCAAATTGAATTAGGACGGAAGCGCGAGGACCGGCGTCATGGTTGGGCAGCCACGCGGTTCCTTCGAGCTGATTCTCGAGAAGCGCTGTGTACTTCAGCAGTGCGTAGTGTGATGCCGAATATGTCCTCGTGGTAACGATTTTCTTCCTATATAACAAAAATAAAAATATTTTCCATACAAAACAAGTCTTAGTAAAGAGTTAATATGTATATCAAATTGATTATAATTATATTGCAGGATATAATCATAATCCAGATATTTTTAAACAACAAAATACTTTTAAAGTCGTTTTCAGTAATTAGAAACAGTGAACACTATAAATGGTAAGCTCGTGGAAACTTTTCATACGGTCTAAGTTCTACTAGATCCATCCCAGAAGGACCCAAAAATTATCCGTTATACTCTCAATCTCATGGCTGTATGCCGGGAAATTAAGTTGCAGTCTTCAACAGATATGATAGCATACAGGCAACTGAATAGACAAATACCCAAATTCATGTGGAGAAACGTACGCAACTTCAACACATCATGTAATGAAGAAGCAATTGCTTTGAACAAAGGATCTAAAGTCTCTGTCAGAGATCTGTCTTCCGGGAATTCTTGAAATTTTCCTTCTGAACTGCATCTACGTTCTGTTCGCGAGTCATTTAAAAATTCTGTTATGAATTAATGTAATCACATTAATGCGTCCCGGGAAAGTGTCAAAGCGTTTAAATTGCATTAACAAAGTATGAAAAAATGATTACTAGTAGTTTTAGTCTATGGTACTCGTAATAATGCCCTCAAGGCTAAATTTCGGCAATGGCGGTCTTTCTCAAGACATATATAAGGATAATAATGCAGGAGTGTATACGCAAACACAAGTGCACTCTCTATTCCCTCTCACTCTCATAGTCAAATGTGAAGGATATCCGGCACAACCGGAGAGGGATGAGGCGCCAGAGCAACAAATTTACGTGCTTTCTTAGGCACGGGGGTGAAACATCGTCAACTTTCCACCCCCAGCCAAACTTAATAACCGGTTTTTGATCCGACCCGGGATTTGAAGCCAGAACTACATTATCAGCAGATGAATTTATGATTACCGGACCAACAAGGCAGACAGGGCAGTTTACTACAATAGACCCCGTACATACCCTTCGGAAAATTGTAAAGAAGACCGAGGAGTACAATATGTGGAATATGAGAAAGCCTTTGATTCCGTCAAAGGTCAAAGAGAAAATCAAAGGTTTTTCCACTTAAGGCCGCTCAGCAAGTTATGGAGAGGTCTATGCTAGGAATTTATCTGCGTGATAGACTTCATAAGGAAGTAGAAACGACCGAACCAGAGTTACCACCATAGCCTAATGGATAAGTAAGCTGAAATGAAAATGGGTTGGACATATAGTTCGAAGAGTGGACAACATAAGGGAAAGAAAGATTAAAATTAGCAGCATTGTAACGGTAACCGTAATATAGGAAGACCCTCCACTAGATAGTGACAACCTGGTAAGAGATGCAAAAAGTCGATGGATGTAGGTAGCTTTATGGCATTTCTTGGAGGGAGGTCATTGTTCAGCGGTGGACTTGTGCCGTACGTAATGATGTTGATGATATAACATTACACTGTGATATTTTAATAAGAGTGCGCGTATATGTACGTTATCTTTGCATCGACGTGCAGGAATCGCCTCAAGTCAATTGTAAGGAAAAATATAATATGCTTAATTTACTAAGTAATAAATCGCATTATATGCATAAACAAAGTTATTTTAATTGCAGCAACATTGTAGTCAAATAGTATAAACGTGCACTATATCCTCTTGTTATTGACCTACTGTGATAAAATAAGAAGGAAGCTAATTAAATTATTTACTGTTTTCTAAGTTAACCGTTTCTGTTTTATGTAATATATAATGTTTTGTTTAATGTTTACTTATTAAGATTAAAAATAAAAATACCTTAAGTAAAAACATAAAACTCTGAACTTGTTCATCTGTCATTCCGCCATGCTTTTTGATTATTCCTTTTAACTTCTGATGAACGTCCTCGGCCATCTTGCAATCACCACAGACATAGAAATGCGCGCCTCGATTAACCAGCAGATCGTAAATTTCAAAACCTTCATTTTCTGCCAGTTCTTGTACATACATCTGCAAACAAATTTTAAAATTCTATTTGTCAAAATATGAATGCTTAATGAATAATGAATGGTTCCTAAATCCTATAACTAAATGAAATATCTTAATTTACGCCTACATTTTGGAGGTTCATATGTGAAATTTATATGTGAAAAATTTGGCAAATCTATGAAGTCCTAGATGCCAATTGACGCAATACATATATCCCGTGTTCGATTTAAGAGACTGTTAATGAAGAATCAGCTATCAAAGTTACAGCCTATATACGTTCCAATGCTGTATATAGGGCTCCTCTGATTTTTAAGAAGGTTATGTAGTGACTACAAAGCATCTAAGCATACTACTTCAATATTACTTCGGAAATAATTAATAGATTGATTAATAATATTACAAGGGTAAATAACGCTTTCTATCTGTCAAAATATGAATGCTTAATGAATAATGAATGGTTCCTAAATCCTATAACTAAATGAAATATCTTAATTTACGCCTACATTTCGGAGGTTCATATGTGAAATTTATATGTGCAAAATTTGGCAAATCTATGAAGTCCTAGATGCCAATTGACGCAATACATATATCCCGTGTTCGATTTAAGAGACTGTTAATGAAGAATCAGCTATCAAAGTTACAGCCTATATTATACGTTTCAATGCTGAACATAGGGCTCCTCTGATTTGTAAGAAGGTTATGTAGTGACTACAAAGCATCTAAGTATACTACTTCAATATAACTTCGGAAATAATTAATAAATTGATTAATAATATTAGAAGGGTAAATAACGCTTACTTTCGGAATATTTTTCTCTCGTGATAATGCGAGAAAAACTTTTGACAGTACACCTTCTTTAAGTGCTTGTTCTTTTTCTTCTCTGTACAAATCCATTGTTCTTGTTCGGCAACCAAAAAACAACCAGACAGGACCGGCGGAGGGACGTGTTCGAGAGTTTAATTGAGCTTTACGGTGGTGCCAAAATCCTCGGAATGGTGCAATGCCAGTTCCAGGGCCAATGAGTATTAGAGGTACTGATAAATCTTGTGGTAGATGGAAATTTGGAGCACTGAAAATTAAATTAGACGTTAAAATAAAAGTAAAATTGGAATAAAGAAGACTGATAATAATTATCAAAAATGAATATTCACCTTCGTATGAATAGATAAATCTCATCGCCGGTTTTACGATCCATAAGATAATTTGAGCAAACACCATAATGGACAGGACCTTCACCATCTGTTTGAACATGATACAATCGTGATTTTTTATGTTCACTAGTCTAACAAAAACCGTGGTCATTCGTTTATTTATCTAATATCAACTTATTTTTATTGCCTTAAGTATGAATTTTAGTTTTTTAGTGAAAAAACTTGAAAACAAAATGTCGACCTTGTTTTTACTTTTATTAATCGCGACATTCCATTCCACATCGACGGCAATAAATTAAGACATATCTACGATACTTTATTAGCTATATATTGCATTATATATAATGATGAAGTATTTTTATGTGGCCTTTATTGCTTACCTTGTGTTCTGTACGTAACCACAGCAACGGTAAGATGCAATCGTTTTGGATGAGCAATAGGAGAAGATGAGATTGAATAGAACCTTGGCTGCAATGGAGATAACAAGGCAGCCAACAAGGATGCACTTGGCATGGCCGATGGAAATTGATCTAATACTTCAGAAAGTGTCGGGAAATGAAAATGACGCCAATCTTCGTACGCAGCGGGGTCCTAGTAAGAAAAAATATAAATATTATCTTGAAGGATTAACATCATTACATTTTATAATATTACACTTACTGTTGCCAAAAGGTTTAGTTGCCTTCGTTCATCTTCATTTTCACAAGTCTTTGCTAAATATTGCAAAAGAATTGTGGTTGGTGGAGTAGTTATATCTAAGAATCTGGTAAACAGTTCTCGTACGCTTACAGCTGGTAGTTTTTCATGTGGCTCCCAAGACTTAACAGGTCCTAAGGGAATATTTTTTTGTAAAAATAAGTCATAATATATATTACAAAAAACAAATTCTTAGTTTTTTCAAAACTTTATTGTATTCAGATCATGCCCAATACGTTTGTAATAAAGGACGGACTTAATGCCAGTCGGAATTCTCTACCAGTCAACCCAGTTAACAAAGAAGTTTAATGTAAAAGAGCGCTTACCACTTGAAGTATGAGTCTCTTTCATCAGTTGTAATTGCACGGGCTCATCATAATCGCTGACGTCTTTCAATCGCGTCAACAAATTATCAACTAACTCTTTACGATTACAAGCAATAATACCAACGTGGTCTCCCGGATCGTATTTGATTTCATTCTGTAAAATGAAGGTTTATGCAATAAACACGATTATGGCATTAGGTACATTATTTTTATCAACTTTTTCAGTTTTACTTACCTTTGGTTCCAGATCTATAAATATTGTAGATCTTTCCGCCGTAGAGTCACCCAAATCCTTGTTAGCTTTGACAACGCAAATTACTAGTTGTCGGTTCAATGCAGATTGTAACGCTGCTGGCAATGTTGGAGGGCGACCAGCTGGACGAGTAAATCTTACTGTTTCTTCACTTAATGTAACAGAGCCTAAAGCTCTTTTTGCCTCTTGCAGAGTTTCATCATCGTCTAAACAGAATGTTTCACACGCCACCTGAATTAAAAGTTATGAGAAATGATTATAACGATTGCGAAATTTCGTTTATTTTAGAATCCAGATGGAACAATATATTGCATTTAAATATTATTTGTCATTTAAAATAAATATTGATTAATTAAAATGCTATAAAAAAATTTTAAGAGAAAAATGTCGCAAACAATCATAGGTATTACATACGTTAAATACGCTAGAGGCCCATTTCCGGAAAGCTTGATCTTGACCACACATTTCATCTCCAGTGGCAATTTCATGAATACGCTCACCGCCAAGATCTCCGAGTAACTTGTTCACGTACTTGCCAAAGTTGCAAAAGTTTGGATAAGCGCTTGACCCAAGAGCAAATACGGCAAAACGCACATTGCTTAGTGGACCAAAATTATCAATTGAAGTGGCATCATTTGTACTTCCTATAAAATTGTAATTTGGTTAGACGACAGTTTTTATTACTTAATCAAACAAAGTTAATTATTATTTTACCTTTTAGTGATTCCAATCTGCTCAGTTGTTTTGGATTACCAGAGGCAAAACGTTGAAGTTCAAGTTGACTGTTAACTTTTATAAAAGACTTTGGTGTCAACACATGTGAGCTCCTTAAAATATATTTTAATTTTAACATTAATGATATAACTAAAATTATCTTTTAAAAAGTGTAAATATAAAACTTACCCAGTGGATTCTTCTCCTGCAACTTGATCAGCATATAAAATTTCGCATAGGTGTTCACCAAAAGCCTAAAAAGATAAAAACGTTGTGTTTTTTTAAGTAATATTTAAAGCTGTGTCATAAATTATATTAAGCTTTTGCCGAAATATGTGTATTTTCTAGCTAATAGAGCTCCGTTGGCCAGCCTTTTGGTTTCTTTCGTAAAGTAGCAGAACATCTACTAATAAGGTCCACTTTAAAGGAAAAGATAATTATTATAATCACTGGCCGTATGGCAGTTAAGGTAGCTACTTTACGTTTATCATTATTATCGTTACAGATCTTCGCAAGTTCACTGTTGAACATACGCCTCCCCCGCAGAATGCGGCAAAGCACGGTTCTGAGCCATAGGCATCAATCTTATGTTAATTAATTAATTTTCATTTCAATACTAAACCAACGTCATAGATTGCTCATAGGGGGGACATTTTTCGTAGTTACAACCGTATTTTGTTTATTTTTATTTTTGGTTTTTTTTTTTGTTGAAAAACGATCCAGCCCGTCGTTTGTTTCAGTTTCTTTCTGTCACCTCTTACATCACCCAAGAGATATACCCTCTATATGGGGTAGTGGATTCTTTTACGTCGCCATTACACGACGTCGTCTTTTATTACTTTAAATGTTACTAAAAGGATGTTTTATTAATAAGTACTTAAAAATAAGTATAAATAACTTAATTAAGACAAGCAATTTTGCCCATACCTTATCCTATAGTATTTATATATTTGTTAAAGACTATAGGTGGCTACTTAATATGAAAATGCTACAGCGAAAGATTTCTTACCACGCCGTTTTCTGGTGGATCACCATTCCCAAATGTTGAGGTGACAACAAGTAATAATGCTTCGTGTTCTATAGATGTTATATCATAATCCGCCATACAGTGTACCTATAAGTTGAAAAATAATCTTACATATTTGACTCACTTTTAACAGTAGAATAATATATACTGTTACTTCTGATTCTAATAGCGTAATTAACCAATATAACATGATAAATTACACTTCCATTGTATGTTTCTTAAATACCTGAGCATTGAAAGCGTGGCCAAAAATGACCCCTAGCTCCTTAGCGTATTGCTCGGACTTTCCAGTCTCGGTGGCATAGAGAACCGTTGCTTTAATCCTCTTAGAGAGAGCTCTGCCAAATAATTTCGATGTAAATTTGACGGCGCGTGCAATTTGCTTGAAGTGAAATTTTCTATTAATAGCCCGCTTTCCACTAATCGGCTTCGATTTTTGCCACTGATGCGTCTTCCAAGCTGGTTCCTGGTCAATATGTTTTACGTGTTTTATATAGCATACTTTAGTTTTACAACGTGAGTAAAGAGAAAGTACTGTACACTCGATGTATGGGCATACCTCAATTCCGCTACATAAAATCGTTCTTATACTTTTAGCTGGATATCAAATCCGTATTATTATTAACGTAAAAATATCAATGGACATTGAATTATAAGTTTATTTTCTATTTGATTCCCTTTAGATTACATAACAAAACATGTAATTGAAAAAATATATGGACTGCCGTCCGTTGGTCTGTGAGTCGGTGAGTCTTCCCGCTAGAAATTTAATCTATAGATTGAGATATATAGTATATGAAATAAGATTCCATATATTCTTAGGAGGATCCCTATTGATTTTTGTTATTGAACTCTATACCGTTTAAAAGTTATTAATGAAAGTCGATCAGATTCTGTTTTTTTTTTATAAAAATTTAATCACTATTTTTATTTTTTTCTTCAAAATTAAATGAAACGCTCATGGGGCGTGCAATTTTGGGTTTTCCAAATTTTTGTTATATTTGCTTTGAAGCGAAATGGCTAAGACTGTATTTGCGACTTGACTTAATTTCGGTAAAATTCCCAACCGAAACAAGTATAGATAGATTACATTTACAAGACAAGATATTTGTCAATATGAAATTTACGTATGTAAGACGCCTCCACGAAAAATAAGATAATTCACCGGTTACTGTTACAGCCTATTAAAGTTCACTGGTGAACATAGACCTCCCGTAGATTGCCTCATAGCGGGGATATTTGCCTTAGCTGCCACGCTTGGCAAGCGGGTTACCGTAGTTTATTATTATTAGTTGTTATTAGGAAGACACTGGTGTTAATCTCCTGATTTGTGTCCCTCTGTCGCCTCTTACGACACCCACGGGATGATATGGGGTAGTGGATATTCTTACACCACCATTAAACGTATCGCAGTGCGGAGATAATCCAAGTAAGAAGGAAATTACCTTCATTTCATTTTAAAAAACAGTAACACAATATGCAGAACACAACCACAAATTAATTCAGGACTATAACTTATAGAAGAATAATCTTTATATGTATGTCTATCGTCTTTAGGTGGTAGAACTGTTCTGCCTAGGAGGCGTTCTGTGTATTGCATATTGACTTAGATATTTCTGCCCCCAAACAAAAGTAAATCCATTGTTATATAACGTAAAATTTTTTTCTTTGATTTAAACTTGAAACTTTGATCTTACTCTTCAGAGGTAATATCGCACATATAGATAGATATAACCTTTGCTTGAAGTTGGTTATTCATTTATCACTTGATGGTAAATGAATAGTATGGTATTCATTTACCATCAGGTAGTCTATTTGCTCGATACATTAGACTATAGTTGATTAAGATTTCTGCAAAGAAATGCTTTTAATTCAACAAAATTATTAAAACAGCTTACCTGATATTCATAGGCGGGTCGTAAGTAATACAGTGCCATCTCTTGATGGAATACGGGTGTAATTGATGATGACATTGGCGGTACAATCCAAATCCAGTCCGCCGGACAACCAGAGCTATGAAAATAGATAAATTTTAATTTGATTTTAATAAAATGAAAATTTAATATATGTGATAGTAATATATTTATGTAAAAACTATTTACAATAGTTTACAAATATAATAATTAATTTTAAAAATCGCTTGTCAGAGCAAAGAATCGAACCGACTAAAACGTGAAACATTAAGAGCCTGCGTAATTTTAATCAATAGAGCCAATTATATGGATCAAATACAACCAGTAATTATTATGCCGTGAATTAAATCCTTGGACCATGAACTATCGTATCATTTGATAAAAATTAATAAACTTACACGTGGTAGAGCTACGATTTAACTATATTATGGTTGGCAGGAATTGGTCGGCTCGATCGGGGAACGACTAAGCTCTAATAGAATACCAGCGTGATATAGAAGCTAACGCTTCTGTGTTTCGTATGGTAAGTGTATATGTAGAAGTGTGGACTGGAGACAAATTTTAAACGGAACGAGGCATTCCATCTTAGTTCTCAGGAGTAACAACGAGTCTGAATTTTGATTCTTAATCGGAGACAGATGTAGATGTGTATGGACCACAGCATCTATTACCATCAGATGGACTGTGTTCGTTTGTCACCCTTAAACTTTAAAAAAGAGTATTAATGAACCAATGAAAATATGTTAAGATTTTCTTTGATCATCCCTCATTATCAATGAGGTATGATTAAAGGACTTTGTAACTTTGGAGGTACTAGTAGGCTATATCTACGACTAAAGTTGGATATGCTTAAAGATTCTGTAAGTCGTTCGACACAAACAATCACACGATATGAGCAATATTATTTGTATGTTTAACCATTCCGACACATGTGTATCATTGTTTATTTGATCCATACGTCAGACTTTGAAGTTCGAGGTTGTTGCGTTGATGGTTTTATAGCTTTTTGTTGTATTGTAGATTACAAACCATACGGGCCTTAGATTTTTAAAATTTATATTCACAAGCTACTCCTAGTGACTTAGCTGTAGCTATTAACACTATAAACAGTGACTTAGCAATCATTTCGGAATGGAGCAGATATTATGGTTCCAAATTAACCAACTGAAGACACAACTAATTATTATAGATTCTCCGCATATGCTTACAAAATGCAATTTACCACAAGTAACCAAAGTTGTATTTGATCGTAATATAATCCTGACCAGTGACACTGTCAAAAACTTGGGTGTATTCATCGATAAAACTTTATCTTGGGGTCCTCAGTTACAGGAAGTTAGTCGTAAAATTTTTGCAGCTGCTCATTCTTTGAGAAGACTACGAAACTTTTTACCAACTGCCACTAAGATTGCGCTTGCGCAAACTCTTCTGCTTCCAATACTCGATTTTGCAGATGTCAGCTATCTTGATCTCACTGAAATGCAACTTGATGAACTTGGGCGACTTCAAAGTTTTTGTATAAGATTCATATTTGGTTTGCGTAAATATGATCATGTGTCAGATTTTCGTAACAGGCTCAAGTGGTTGCCAATTCGCCTTCGCCGGAATGCTCATATTCTTTTACTTATTTATAATATTCTTTTTAATCCTTTCTATCCTTCTTACCTAAAAATCGGTTTGAATTCCTCAATGAATCACATTTGAGACATTTGAGATCATAAGAAAATTTGATGTTAAAAATGCCAGCCCACACTACCAAATTTTTGGACAGATCGTTCACAATACAAGCTGTTCGATTATGGAATGACTTGCCGTTATCAGCAAGACGCGCTCAATCCCTACCGGTTTTTAAGAAGCATGTACATGATTACTTTTTTCAACTTTGATTCTATTTAGTTCATTTGTATATAATTATTCTCCTTTATTTAGTTAAAATATTTGTTTATATGTATGGCACTTTTATGTCATATGTAATAGTTTTAAAGTATATATTGTACTTTTATATATTTATATTTATAAAAATATATATTTATTTGTATATTTATACATATATATTAATAAGTATATATGTATTTATCTTATCTATGTAGTTACTTATATACCATTATATAGTTTTATTTTATGGCTTTAATAAAAATAATGTTATTTTGTCAGCAAACCACACACGTTTTTATTGTTTTCTTGCAATGCTGTCCATCCAAAGGTTGTCTGGAAGAGATAGCTCTTAGCGATAAGACCGCCCATTGTACCACATTTCTTTTTCTCATTTTTTTGTTGATATTTTTGTTATTTTTTGGCGTACAATAAAGTGTTATTTCTATCTATTTATCTATCTACCCTTTACTATAGAAATCGGAAGAGAGCACTCCCTACCACTTTTTGTTTTTGTTTTTATAATTAAAAAAAATATCATATATTTGTGCCTGTGTTGTTTGTTTGTATGTTAAAAAATTATATCTTTCGAACATTGGCCATTTGAAAGTTAAGTCAAGTTTGAAAGCTAACTTTAGATAGTTAATCTAAATGTAAACCAGTTTTTCGGTAAATGACTTAAAAACGTCTGATGTGGATCACTGTTCGAAGAAAAGTAAGCAGGTGCTGGGCGATCGCTTTAAATTTCATAGTACGTGAGCAACTCAATTTCGATGCTCGCTCATACCACTAAAATCGTTTAACGTAATTATGCATAGGGCACACTGAAAGTTCTGTGCTTCTTGCCGCTTGTATAAGTTTGAATTTCGAATGTTATATTTTTTTTAAACATAAGAAATACTTAAATTGTTTGAAATAATTTTAGCGAGAGGTCGCGAATCAATTGTTCTTTATCAGTTAAGTTCGCCATCCGTTGCAAAAATGGAATTAACAAAAAAAGTCAATTTTGTCTTCTGAATGAATTTCTTTATTTTCTAAAAACCGATGATTTGATGGAAGGTTTTGAAGAAGGACCAGCACGTGAAAATTATGGCCTCAGACTGATGGAGACCAGACCAGACCAACTCTATCCCTTATATTAAAAAAAATGGTTTGAACGAATGACAAAATGTGTCCAAAATATAATACAAAGTACTTTGAAAAGCAACAAATATATTAGTTTAATATATAAATTGTTTAGTTACGTAAAACGTTCAGTGTACCCCGCGTATGTAGTTATTATATGAATATAACCGCGGGTTCAGCGTTAAAAGAAAACAATTCAAAGAATCCTGCATGTCTGAGAAATTAAAATATTGCGAAAACATATCTGTCAGTCTGCCAACACGCATTGAGACAACGCTGTGACTATTTTCCTTGTTCTTAAACATGATACCAGTTCTGCGTCCAGCTAATCCAATAATCACATTTATTGTCCAATATATTAATAATAATTTACTTGTGACAGAATTGAACTGAATATTTTTTTTATATAATACAACTAGTATTATATAAAAAAATATTCAGTTCCGCGACATATTCGCACGAGTGACTTCTGGATCTCAACAGTAGTGCCACCTACTGAGTATAACTATAGCCAAGAATCATCCAGGTGACCTCATAAGTACCTCATAAAAATCGACCAAGCCAAGAATTACGAACACACACACCAGAATTGTATATACAAAGATTACTTTTTTATTAATATAATATATGATTGTTTGTGACATTAAATTATGGAACTGGAACTCAAGTGAACATTTTCGGAGTGAGTTGCTGGTCCGCAACGTATAAATTTTCCATTTTCTTCTTAAGTGCAAAGTGTTTTGTAAAGTAGCACAACAATAATTTACAATTTTAAGGTATCGGGTGACGAGCTTCGGTTGCTTGCTTATTTATATATGAAAATTAAGTTGAGCATCCAAACCTAAATTAAGATAGATACGGAATAACCGTATAATTACACGGTGTGGATTCATTTGCAAAATATATTCAAGTTACTTATTATTTGATACACGCCTTCCCGTTTATCTGTTTATGATGAAGCGAAAGGGGTATGTCACGTATCTTTAGTATACGTAGCTAGTTATATTATCATTAATTACATAAGGTTAACATTTGAGCTTTGAATTCAAAGAAGCCGTAAAAGCTTGGCTTAGATTACAAATACGAGGGTGGATTGAAAAGTACTCGGCCTAACACAGATCCATTCAATTCTAAAAATCAAATCTACCCACATTATTTAGTTCAGTTCAGACTAGTTCATTGTGTGAAGTTCGAAACGTGTGCGATAATTAGTTGTGATTCTATAAATTTATTAACAAAGTAATCGGGACATAATTTCCGCGAATGGAGCAAATCGAGCAGCGTGCCGTCATTAAGTACCTCCATAAGAAGGGGCTATCATCAAAAGCCATCCATGATGACATGGTCAGTACATTAGGCGATTGTGCTCTGTCATATTCATCCGTCAAAAAATGGATAGCAGAATTTAAGCGTGGTAGAGAGAGTGTGAAAGATGAACCCCGCTCTGGAAGGCCTTCGACGTCAACTACTGACGAAAATATTAAAAAATTACTTGATTTAATAACGGGAGACCGCAGATTAAAAATTAGAGAGATAGCCGAGATTATAGGCATCTCTTATGAACGAACTCAAAACATAATTGTCAACGAGTTGGGTTTCCACAAGGTGTCTGCGAGGTGGGTTCCGCGACTGCTTTCAGTTGAACAAAAAAGGACGCGATTGACTATTTCACGCGACTGTTTGGAGTTATTTGAAGCCGATGCAGATGATTTTTTGAATCGTTTTGTTACTATGGACGAAACATGGGTTCATTACTGTACACCGGAAACAAAACAACAATCAAAACAGTGGAGAAGACCTGGTTCACCACCCCCTAAAAAGGCTAAGTCGATTTTGTCGGCAAATAAGGTGATGGCTTCAGTATTCTGGGACTCGAAAGGTGTGATTATGATTGATTATCTTGAAAGGGGTCAGAATATAAACTCTGATTACTACTGCACCTTACTACGTCGTTTACGAGAGGAAATAAAAGAAAAACGTCGAGGAATGCTCAGAAGAAAAGTCCTGTTTCATCAAGATAACGCCCGTGTTCACACGTCAGTACAGTCAATGGCTGAAATTCACAACTGTGGCTTTGAACTGTTACCGCATCCGCCGTATTCACCTGATCTGGCACCATCAGACTTCTTTCTGTTCCCTAACCTAAAAAAGCACTTGGGAGGTCAAAGATTTTCGACAAACGACGAGGTCAAAGCAGCTGTAGACGCATATTTTGACTCTAAGGAAGAATCATTTTTTTTCAACGGTCTAAATGCTTGGAAGGGGAGGTGGCAAAAGTGTATTGAACTTGATGGTGATTATGTAGAAAAATAAAAATATAACTGATTTAGTATGTGTTTATTTTCTTGGTTAGGCCGAGTACTTTTCAATCCACCCTCGTATCACAGACTCTTTCGTGTTTTGAAACTCTTTCGTGTTTTTTCTGTGGCGGTAATTTTTATTTTCCCTTAAAAATTACTCATGTGTTAGCATCAATATTATGTATATTTTTATAGGATAGGGTGACGAACGAGTACACAATCCACCTGATGGTAAGTTGTTGCTGTGACCCATAGATATCTAAATCTATCCTTGATAAAAAATCAAAATGCGGATGCGTTCTCACCCATGAGGACTAAGATGGAATGCCTCTTTTCCAGTAAAAGGGGCTCCGATTCTCTACATTCACCATACGAAACACAACAGTGTTAAGCTGCTATTTTACGCTGGTATTCTCTGAGAGCGTGGTCTTTTTCTTTATTCGTACTACAACTATACTACTATTATAGCTGTAGCATGGCTCTACCATGTTGAAAACATCAAGTTTTATCCAAATTCGCAATAGTCTCTTGAATCTTTCACATAAATAATATAAATATAGTTTATAGTTTCGTTAGTGTCCTGTACCATCACGTGGGTATCGTAAGTAATGACAGAAGAAAACTTAAATAGGGGATGGGTAGTAGCACCTTCCTTATAAAAAATCGAAAGAATAGAATAACTTTTTATTTAATTTAGATCACACGTATCTAATTCTTATTGAAAGTCATTTTTTACTTTACCACTTTTCATACGTGGTAGAGCCATGCTGCAGCTATATTAGTAGTATAGTTGTAGCACGAATGGGTCGGCTCGACCAGGGAAGGACCACGCTCTCACAGAGTACCAGCGTAAAATAGCAGTTTAACACTGCTGTGTTTCTTATGGTGAGTGTAAAGAACCGGAGACCCTTTTTACTGGAAAAGAGGCATTCAAACTTAGTCCTCACGGGTGACAACGCATCTGCATTTTGATTTGCGAACGAGGATAAACGTTTTTTTTTTATAAAAAAAACGTTACCCCCACACTAAGATTTTCTCCTGTGTCGTGGAGGCAGTTTACAAACATAAATTACACAAGGACAAACATCGACACCCGGAACAATTATTTGTAAGCCATACAAATACTTGTTCCGTGCGGGAAATGTATATGTCTATGGGTCACAGCAACCACTTACCATCAGGTGGACTGTGTGTTCGTTTGTCACCCTAATCCTATAAAAAAAACCATTGGTTCGGAAAAAAACAATAAAAGCTGCGGTTATCAGGTGGATGGCAGGTATGCCAAGTGTGGCAACAGTGGCAAAGACTTTCATGGACTGAAATAATGATGATGATAATAACGACGTTGTTGATGATAATGAGGATGAGCCAATTTTTGTATCATATTAAGGTTTCTTCACGACGTTTTCCTTCCAGAACACGTGATAAGCCAGCTTTTCAAATTTATAACAACTTCAGTAGTATCTCTGCAGATCGAAATTTGTTGCTAGCATAATAAAAAATTTGTGAATTTGACCTCTATGCTACACATACCTTCCTGAATACATAGTAAAGTAGCACTTTAAATTGTAATTAACAATTTCAGTGACACCTATGGGGATCGAACTTTGTTGCTTGAGTACTTTGAAAATGTTGTGTGAATTTAGCCTCTAGGCGTCGACACGAGTGAAGCACGAAATGTTAATTTAAGGAGTAAACGACCGCTAAACGTTTCTATGTTATTGATATCGAAGGTTTGAGAAGTACTTATATAAATTGACATACATTACACGTATGTACAAATTAACCGATTTACAACGCAACATTACGATGCATGACCTATAGACTAAATAATTAGATATTTACAAAAAAATTTACTTATCATTGGATCTGTTTCTTTATAGAATTAGGGTGACATCAGTGGACCTGATGGTAAGTGGATGCTGTGGCTTATAGACCACCTATCCTGTATTAAGAATTTGGATGCAGATGCGTTGCCATCCCTGAGGACTAAGATGGAGTGCCTCGTTTCCAGTAAAAAGAGTTTACGATTCTCTACAATTACTATGCAAAACACAGCAGCTTAAGCTGCTATTTTACGCTGGTATTCTGTGCAAGTCTGATTAAAATTTATATAAGAACCGTTTAAAAGTATATTATTATAATGGTGCATAAATGAGTTCAGTAACTTACCTCGGAGATTTCTGTTAATTAATTAAATTTTCAACATATCAAAGTCCACTGCTGAACATACGCCTCCCTTTAGATTGGTCTTATGGGGTATTTTTTGTGTCATAGTTGCCACGATAAGCAGGAATTTTCTTCTTTTAGTAGTTATTAGTAAAACGCTGGCTTATCTCCTATATTGTTTTCCTTAGTCACCCTTTACGACACCCATATACGATGTGGGGTGATGGACACCGGTACTAATTGATACTTCATGTTACATGTATTAAAGCTTAATTGACAACCTTTTCCTTTTTTTAATTGGGATACAATTAAAAGGACTTACCGCAATCTATTCTCATTGTCCAAGTGCTTGATAAAACTCTCCGAAGCTGTGTGGTGGTCAACAATTGTAGCATTTTGTTGTTGGAAGCTATGGAGGACCGCAACATTCACCTCCACCAGAGCCTTATCTTTCCATAGATTTACCGGCGTTCTTGTATCCAGACCCATTTTCTGTGCGACTTTCTATTACAAAGCATTTTTAAAATAGGTATATGTTCTTATAGATATAAACATAAAATGTCTTATAAACAGTGGCCTGATAACGGTTGTTAAATGGTTACGTCAAAAAATCTATCACCATTAACACTGAATCTTGTGGGTGTCACGAGAGTCGACCAAAGAAAGTATCGACGATCATGTGTTCTTCTTAGAAAGGTTATAACCATTTCAGTACATCAGATATCATTACAGTCCATCACATTTTTTTCTAGTTGGTAAAGCTCCTTGTCTGCCTGGAAGTCCGTCAAGGTAGTTACCACCCTTTTACCTATCTATGCGTTGTTGTAATTCGGTCGGAACGTATTTAGTCTACTAGTATTATACAGACTGTGGCATTCCAATTAGTATATGGCAATGCATCGCAGACTTTTTTGTATAAAGTGTGTTTTCGTGGTTATAGGTGTCCATGGGCTGCAGAAGTTCGTTTGTAACTTTAAAATTATAAAGCGCTGAGCATATACCTCCCCCAAGAAATGCAACAAAAATATTTTATCTCTGCCATATATTATAAATGTAAACCATGTTAAAGGTGCGTACGTGCTTGGCAATGCGAAATTACCGATCCAGCTGATCAAGGTCATTGACCATCAGTAGAGTATTTAGGGGGTAGAAGTTATTAGGATTATATAATACATATAATATTTTTAACATAATATAAGCCAATGTATCCACTTTATTACTAAAGTAACCAAACTAAGGTTGACTGGCAGATATTTCTATTAGGATTTTTTCCTATAGATTGTGTAAGGTTCAATAAATAATAAATAAATGTTTTTATCATGGTATTGTATCGGTATGGTTTTTTAAAATTTATACATTTGAAAAGGTGTAATACCATAACATAAATTAAAAGCAAACAAAATATTCAGAGTATAGCAAAATATTACATGTAGCTTTCAACTAGAGTCGAAAAGGTGTATTTTATTAAAGTAAATTATTTTAGTGAATTATCACATAAAGCGAGCAATTAGAGTATTTACAATATAACCGCATTTTATTCGAAATGGTAATTTCATTTAATATATTTTATTATGAATTTCTCTGATAAGATTAATTTATTTTTGTACAAGTTTGAATGTTTTTATAGAGGGTTATTTTGCAATAAACGGCCAAATTTGCAGAGAAGATTCAGAATAAGTAATTCGGAAACATTAATTACAAATAAATCTCAAACATTCTGTCTTTATTATCTTTTAAATTTAAAATGGGTGGTAATCTAGTAATGCATTATTTTAATTGATTTTACTGCACACGCACACATTCGTAAGGGTCGATCGGTGTGAATTGAAACACAAACAGAGGAACGGGCGTAATCATAGTACTCGTAGCCTATAAATGAAATTCAGTTTAGGATAATTTCAAATAAATGAAGAAGCCTTATTTACTTGTATTTTCAAAAACTGCAATAACAAAAGTTTAAAAATAATAATATTAATAATATAATAAATCTAGTTGATTCAGGCGATGATGGAATGGTCACCCAAGAACTAGAGCAGATGAGGAGTAAATTGGAGGAGGCGATTGTGGAAACGCGCAGTACGCCTCTCGAAAATCGACCGCGACTCCCGCGCATACCCCTAAGCAAGCGAAATCGGGCTGTCGTGAGGGCTCTCAACCCAATGCTGGTGACCTATTTGGAAGCCAGCCGGGACCTTTGCGAGACGGACTCAATTCTTTTTGGCGCCGCACTGGCAGTTTGCCGTATTGTTGGCGCCAAACTTCCCACGGCTGGACGCGCTACTAGACAAAGCAGCGCCATCCCAGCCTGGAGAAGAAGGATTGAGGACCGTATTGTAAAGGCAAGGGCCCTCATCGGCAGGCTGATAAGCTTCAGGTCGGGCAATAATAGGCCGAGAATTGTGCGCACCGTCAGGATGGCGTTTGCTGGGACAAATATCAGTTTGTCCCAGCCGGATATAACGCAAAAACTGACGGAGCGCATAGACGACCTGAAGCAGAGAATCGCTGCTTGGGGGAAGCGGATTCGGCGATATACCGAGAGGTCGACACGGTTCAACCAGAATCGTCTCTTTCAGAGTGATCAGAAGAGGCTCTATGAATCATTGGAGCGACCAATGGTACGTGGAACGGGCCCAGCACCGAATCAGGCCGACACTATCGCATTCTGGCGCGGCCTGTGGTCAGAGCCCGTAAACCACAGCGAGGGCCCTTGGACGGAAGTTGTGGCGAGTCAGTGTGCGAATATTACGCCCATGGACCCCGTCATCATAACGCCGGATGATGTAGTTGAGGCGGTCCGTAGGGCCCCGAACTGGAAAAGTCCGGGGCTCGACGGTCTGCATCACTACTGGCTGAAGGGGTTCGTGGTGTGTCACGCTGTGCTCGCCCGACAGTTTCAAGAGGCTCTCGACCAGAAGTCGCTCCCGAGCCTCTTCACTACTGGGATCACTCATTTGGTTCCTAAAGATTAGGACACCACAGACCCGAGCAAATACCGCCCCATCACGTGTCTACCCACGATATACAAGACACTAACATCCATTTTGAGCGCTAGAATCAGTCGTCACCTGAACTCAAATCAGGTGATGTCGCGCGCTCAGAATGGATGTAGGGGCGGTGGTCGTGGAACCAAGGAACCACTCCTCATTGACGCGGTCATTGGCAAGGTGGTTAAACGCAACCGTCGGAACCTCTCCGCCACCTGGATAGACTACAAAAAGGCATTCGACTCGGTGCCTCATGCATGGCTTAAGAGGGTCCTCGAGCTGTACAAGATTGACTGTACAGTTAGAGACTTCCTCGGGCAGTGTATGGGGCAGTGGAGTACGATCCTTTGTCATCTAGGTGAGCGGATGACGGCTGCGGAGAACCACATAAAGATAAGAAGGGGTATCTTCCAGGGCGATTGTTTGAGTCCAATCTGGTTCTGCCTCTCTCTGAACCCTCTCAGTACCTTACTGGAGGGCTCCGGGAGGGGATTTCAGCTTCGGAGAGGAGGTACAAAAGTGACCCACCTTTTCTTTATGGATGATCTCAAGTTATTCGCCTCCAGTCGCTCTCATCTTATGGAATTGCTAAACATCACTTGTGATTTTAGCAATTCTATTAGAATGGAGCTGGGGACGGATAAGTGTGCGGTCCTCCATGTTGAAAGGGGAAGGGTTGCTAACTCTGAGGGCATAGATTTATCTATGCCCATCAACATAAGGACCCTTTCCGGGGCTGAAACATACCGATACCTGGGTATGTCACAGAACATCGGTGTAGATGAGGCGGGTATGAAACAGTCAGTTTGCGATGTGTTTTATGCACGCTTGACCAAAGTGCTTAACAGCCTTTTGTCCGGTGTGAATAAGACGCACGCATATAACGGTTGGGTCATGCCTATTCTCATGTATACCTTTGGCATACTTAGGTGGACTCAGACCGAACTAAACGCTCTGGACAGAAAAGTCCGCACTATAATGACGTCCCACAGGATGCATCATCCGAGATCGTCAGTAATGAGGCTGTACTTGCCGCGGAAGCATGGTGGGCGCGGCTTTTTAAGTGCGCTTACCATGCATAATCTCGAAGTGTGCAGCCTCCGTAATTACTTTCTGACGAGAGCGGATGATCCATACTATAGAGACGTTATTTCTTGTGATAAAGGACTTACCCCTATATCCTTAGCCAACGAGCAATGGCGGGACCCGGCAGTACAGAGCATTTCCGACCGGGAGACCGTATGGAAGGAGAAGGAGCTCCACGGGAGGTTCTACAAGGCTCTACACGAGCCTTTCGTAGACACAGTCGCCTCCCTCCACTGGCTACGTTTCGGTGACCTCTTTGGGGAAACCGAGGGTTTTGTCTGTGCGATACAGGACCAGGTTATTAAGACCAACAATTATCGGAGATACATCCTAAAGGATGGCACCGTTGACGTCTGTCGAGCTTGTCGCCATCCCGGTGAGTCACTTAGGCATGTCATCTCCGGTTGTTCGGCGCTTTCTAACTCTGAGTATTTGCACAGACACAACTTAGTAGCCAGGATTCTACACCAGGAGCTCGCTCTGAAATACGGTCTCGTGGATCGGAAACTGCCGTATTATAAGTACTTGCCGGAAGCCGTACTCGAAAATGACCGCGCCAGGCTCTACTGGGACCGGGCCATCATCACAGACAGGACTATTCTTGCGAATAAGCCTGATATTGCGCTGATGGACCGGGCACAGTCAAGGATATTTTTGGTCGACATTACCATTCCTTATGACGAAAACCTCGTGAAAGCCGAAACAGATAAGGTGACAAAATATCTGGACCTGGCTCACGAGGTGACCGACATGTGGGGTGGTCTGCCGGCCGAAATTATTCCTGTGGTCGTCTCTGCGAACGGGTTAATCCCAGTCAGCCTCTCGGGTCACCTGAGGCGACTGGGACTTCGTGACGGATCGCTCCAAGCTCAAATGCAAAAGGCGGTGCTCCTCGATACCGCCCGCATCGTCCGCCGGTTTCTTTCCCTTTCCCCCTAACCCTCGGCCGTTTGGTCTCCCCTGCCGAGGGCTTCCATCTGGTTGGGTTTTTATATATTTATGTAATTTTTATGTATTTATTTTATTTTATTGATATTTATGTAAGTTTATCATTTTCATTTTCAATTATATATTTATACAGCCCAACCAGATGAGAAAAATATACAAATACCCCAGATAATAATAAACTTTATTTCTCTCTACAAAATAACATTTATAAAATATCATTACATTTAATAGAGACTGGTGACGATACTAGGATTCCCTGTGCTACAGCCACCAGGCCTCCACCACCGGACAATAACTCACGTGTAATGTATATTCGGATGAAGAATGTATATAAAAGGAAATATAATATATATTTCAAAAGAGACAAATAAGCAAATAAGCAAAAAAGGAGGTGTGTGTGTGTGTGTGTGTGTGTGTGTGTGTGTGTGTGTGAGGGCGTGCGTGCGTGCGTGCGTGCGTGCGTGCGTGCGTGCGTGCGTGCGT